AGAGAGAGAGAGAGAGAGAGAGAGAGAGAGAGAGAGAGTTTATTTTTTATTTTTTTTCAATTTCACTATTTTCATCTTTTTCTTGAAAAAAATATAAGTCCAGAAAAAAAAATGTTACCATTGGAACCCCTTTCATTTGAAAAGAAAATAACTAAAAAGTTAACAAATGAAAATCAAATATGTTTATGCTAAAATATTTAACACATTCTTCTAATTATATATAAGTGTTATCCTATAAATATTTAACTTATTTCTAAAGTTTATAATTCATATTCTTTGTCTATGCCAAAATAGAAACGCTATCATATACATTAGATACATGGGAAATAACTTATTCATCCTACAATCTCCAACAGTTTACTGTTTTTTTTTTAAAATATTTTGTGCACTAAAAAGAATTTATTTATAAGCAGAATTTCTTAAAATATAATTCAAAAAACATATATGTATATATATACTTTGAAAAGTGTATAAAAACTTGAATTATTAGATTTTACATAGTTTTATTTGTTCTTTTTTCATCTTTTTCTTAGTCAAATATTCCTCCTCTTTCTAAATAAAAAAGTACATTTTTTTTTAAATCACAAATTTTCTTTTCAAAAACCCAATTGTACCAGTTTACACCTGACATTTTTTTTAACATATTGCTTTATTTTTAAAAAAAAAATCGTACTAACGAACTCCACGACAATAATAAAATAGACTTTCATTCATTTTCATCGAAACTATTTATTTTCTTTATTATTCTATTATTATTTTTTTAATTTCACTGGAATTTTATTAATTTATTTTTTTTTAAAATGTACCTAAATATTATTAAATCGAATATAACATAATATATATTATTTCATTTAATAGCCTCTTAAGTAAACCCAACCGAAATATTCAACTCTAAAGTTTGATTGATCAAGACTTGCATTTAATTATAAAAAAAATATGAGATGAAGAGATATGATAATTATGTTACCACCGAAAAAAAGAAGAAGAATGATATAATTCACCCATAAACTGCGCCGTGTACATAGAAACAAGTGTTGGTTTACCACAGACGGTGCCTTAAAAGCCGAGATTACACTCAAATATATTTGCACCAATTATATATATATATATATATATATATATATATGTAACAATTTATAAATAAATAAATAAGGCAGACAAAAAGACATGCGTGAATCATTAATTCTAATCCCAAAAATCAAATTTTGAAAAATGTTGACTTTAAATAATCAAAAGCTGTGTTTTGTAGACTGTTGTTATCGCGGAATACCGAGGAGAAAAGAGACCAACTGTGGATTTACTTAGAGCTTATAAGAGAATATTAGTAGTAGAATGGCACTAATCTTTAAGGGTCTTTACTTTAATAGCTTTTTCCAAGTAATATTTTTAGAATGGGAAAAAATAGGGGAATTTTCTAAATATAGACTTGTAATAAATAATTACAAAAGTTTTTGTAATAAAAAGACTCAAAATATTAAAACAAAAATATTTCTGAAATTTCAGACTCAGAAATAACAACTATTCTTAAATTAGCATTATTGTTTTCTTTCACCTAATATTATTCGTCATTTTTTTAAAATTCCCTAATCAGTCTGTGGAAACAAAATTACTAACATAATATTTTTTTAAAAAATAAATTAGTGACTTGAAGCATTCTTTTAATAGAAAAAAATTTGGATTTAACCTAACCTTCTCCTCCCCTCTAGCTGTGACACCCGCCGGACACGATAACCCTCGGCCAAACCCGAACTGAAATCTGAAGATAGGCTTTTGGCCAGAACCTTACAAATACTCATCATCTCGGGTTCTCGTGCCCGTTTTGTAGTTAGAAAAGGTAACGGGTTATTTCTATTGCATTTCCTGTCGTATCTGCCTGCAACAACACGAGTGGAGAAAAAAAGAAAAGGATGTAAAAGAGATTTCCTTTGTAAATCTTCGTTCTCTTCCTTCAACTTTGTAATTTCGGCTTCAAGCTCCATTGTATAAGCCTTCAAAAACCCGAAACAATCACTAAAATGAAAACAGAGTTTGCAAAATCTGTAAGGAATCGGACGAGTGTGTATATATATACCTAATACCTGCTTCCGAGCCCGTACGAGATCTTGCTGCTAGATTCTCGGTTCTTTATCATTCTTCTTTAACGTCTCCTCTCGACAACGTTTCCACCGCACCGTTACTCTTCCTACCCCTCACGCCTACCTCCTCCGAACATATAATTAAGGCGATGGTGAGACCGATGAAGTGTCGCCGTTACTCCTCCTTATCCCATCTTTCGAAGCAACGGGCTGAGCGATGTTCTGCATGTTTTGATTCAAATGTGTTGGGCCAAAGAGGAAGAGAAATCCTCTAACTCTCTCGGAGGGTTATGATTTCGATCCGGTTTGATAAATCGGATGATTCGGTTCAATGTTAGTGAACCGGTTGGTTTTGTGACATTAGGGTTTGTTATAAACAACCCATGTTCTTCTTCTTCAATCTATCGATGGTTTTGGTTAGGGATGTAAAATGAGCCGCGAGTCGGCTCGTGAGTCGGCCCATATTTTTCTGAGTTGGGTTCAAAATATTTGAGCCCAGAAAAAACCGGACCAAACGAGCCAGGCCATCACGAGCCAGGCTCGTGGCGGGCC